AGAGCCCTGTTTTCCCATGGCTTCCCCCCCTCGACCTGTACTCAGCTGCATGACGGTGCGTTTCCGAGCAGAATCTCTGACTAAGCACTTCTCTCAGAAAATATGTTTTCAGGGAGTTATTTAAACAACTAGCTCCGAGAAGAGAAAAAATAATGAAGGAAATCAACCTGTAGCCATCGCGGCACGTCTCGGAACAAGCGCTAATCTGTAGCTCCTAACAACCACTAAGGCTCATTCAMGGGAGAAAAAAAGGTCGTTTAGGAAGACTCATCCTGCAATAAAATGTGCACGCTGCTGATACAGGGAGGAAAGCATTGGGGAGCCCGATGGAGGCAGGCTGTTCTAAAAATACCAGTCTGTGCTGTSATCCGCTGAGGGGATGTCATCCTGTAATCTTGGCATCTGCAGGGACAGCAAGTTTCTGCCCAATTATTGCCGTGGAGTCACATGACAATACACAATGTACTAAAAAAAATAAATAAATAACACAAAAACAGAAAAAAAAAACCAACCAAACCACAGGATCAGATTCAATTATGCCGGCTTTAGCTGCTGTCTGTTTGTCTCTTCGCCACACAAAGCTGTGGAGGGAAAGCTGATTTTTCTTTTAATGGACCTTTTTCCTAAAATCATAAAATCCAAAAAAGCACTCAAGCCACGGCTATCGCTGGCACTCGGGATTCTGCAGGGATATTTTGCAGGGCAGGGAGGCCCAGGATTTTTCGCCCAGGACGTGCTCGGAGCAAGGCCGGCAGTTCCCCTGGGCACCAGCTCCCACACAGCGTGGGCAGTGACAGCGCGTGCCCAATGAGCAAGGAGGCTCCTTGGAGCCACAGGAACCCCTGTGCCCGGCAAAATACAAGGTTTTCCACCCAGATATTTTCATTCRAAGACTAAACTTGGCGAGTTTGATGTGCAGCTAGTCACAAAACCACCTTTCAAAGCCTGGGCTGGCGGGAACAGCACTTCAATGTTAGAAGCGCGCCACCASCTTAACCACGAACCTGCTGGAAATGAAGCAGGAGCATTTTGTTCCACTGGATTTCCTTTAGGTTTGCAAACGTAGCCCCACCTGGCTCCACATGTGAGATGTGCCAGGCCCATTCCTAAAACCTCCTCTTTGAAACCCGCAGGGAAGCGAAGGCTGCTTGGTCCTGAGGCTGCTCAAGAGCCTTGGGCAACAGGCCCTTGACTTCCCCTTTCCTGAGCACAAAATAAGTTTACTGCAAAAGCAAAAAACTGTAATTGTCYTCATGAAACACTGTCCAGCAAAAGCTCTCCAATCCAAAGGTGACAAACTCTCCCCAAATCGAGACCTTCCTATGATCCACTGGAGCTTTTAACATGGTGTCTCAGGGAATACTAAGTGATCTACAGATCTATACGCTTTGCTGTGGACTTCATCCAGAAGCAGGCTGAACACAAATTAACAAACCAGCTAGTAGTCCAAAAAAGGTATGGATTATAGAAATACAGATAGGCATTTCATTATTTTTATTAGAGGTTAGCCAGTGTATTTGGTGAAACAACACTCTATGCTGCTACTGCTAGTGGTTTGTGCACTTGCTGCAAAAGGGTGACTTAGGACTTAAATGATGCTAGAATAAAATGCATGACTAACTGATCTGTGAAGTGTTTTATGTTCAATTTTCACTCAAGCCCACTTAACTTCAGTGCACCTACAGAGCCCTGGGAGATCTTGCAAAGGGCACATTAAAATCTCTCCCAGCTTTCAAAACAGCAAAGTCAGATGAAGAAGTTGGTGCCTTCCTTGCAACTCAGGCATCCTCCAGCAACCCCTTCCCAAACTCTGCCAACGGAGCTGCTGGGAGAGCTCCGCTATTAACTGGATCCCTGAAACAATCCAGGCAAAACCAACTCCTTAAGCGGCCTTTGATGCCAAGTTTGTCCCCCATGGCTTTCCAGGAGGCTACAAGATTCCCCAACTCTCTCCCCTGCCAGGTTGTGCAAGGCCAGTGTTTGGCCCAGGCCAAGTCCCTTGGGATTCATGGGTTGAGAAGGACTGCAGAGTAACGAGGAGGGTTGTGGAAATACCAAAGCTAGGGAGAACACAGTAATTAAAAAATAAAAGGTGTTCTAGAGAAAGGCTAGGGAATAGTCATGTCTTTATTTATGGATAAATGGTCTGAAAAAGACAGCCTGGTGATGACTGGAGTGGATAGAGAGTATATTCAGTGCTCTTGGGAAGCAGACACTGGAAGCTGGGAATGCTCCCTCCAGGGTGGGTGCCCTGGCAATGAACTAGCAACACTGGAGGCTTTTGCACATGTTTTACCTCTCCTACACAGAAAGCGTAAGTCAGTCATCTTTTTCATAAGTAAACCCCCCTCCATACCTAGGGTATGTACAAGCTAAAGAACTGGGCAACTGCTTCCTTCTTTTCTTCCCCCAACTAATTCTTTCCTATTCTTYCTGTTCCTTCACAGGAAACACGGCATCCAGGAGGGCCGGGTACACCAGGAACCTGCTGCGACTGCTTCAGTCTGCCAGCCACCTTCCCGAACCAGAGTTAGCATCGGCAARGGCAGCACCTCCCTACCTTAGATGCTCTAAAGGCTTTGGACTGAGGTCGTGAGAACTGCCAGGAGAAGACTTTAATTGGGGGGCTCCCTCCTGCTACGGCAAAGTGGAGGAATAGCTGAGGAAATGTTTCAGAGTGATCACAGCCCGCGTCGCGCGAGATGCCCCAAGTGAAGTGCCCTGTAACGGSGCAGGAGCTGTGCCCTGTGCGCAGGCTCAGCACAAACCACCTCACCCCATGCCCAGGGCCAGCCTGCCCRGTGCCCGTGCCAGGGGAAGAGGCTTCCGCGGATGCCAGGACAGCGATGGGCCCCCGAGAGCCACCTGGTTCAGGAACCTGCCCCGTGCAACACAAATCCCTCATGCGGATGTGTCGCTTCCTTCCCTCCGAGGGTACAGCCTGGAAAAGGTGGAGGTGGCTACACTTGYCACGAGCCCGATGGGCTGGGGCTAAGGGGCATTTATTATTTCGGGAGGCGCTGGSGCCCAGGCAGGTCTCCCTCCACTCATCCTTTACCTACATCCAGCAAACAGCAATGCTGAAAGAGGGGGCCGTGTTCTTGCTAGGACCGTGTCCAGCAAGACTGCCAGTATCATCTGTTTTTAAGGCTCCTTTTGGCAAAATGCACCAGGAGATGTTCCACAGTGATAAAGTTCATGTAAAAAATAAATAAATAAATAAATAAATARATARATAAAYAAACCCGGATTTTCTAAATCCAAACTGCTCATGCAYCTGAAAGAGGAGACAACAGATTAACAAGCGTGACCTTCCGGAAGTTTTTGTGTCTCGGTTCTCAAATCCCTTTCTGCTCTTTTCTTCCCACCTCTCTCTTAACTTACGGCTTGAACGACAGGTATCCAGAAGGCCGTGTGGGCACTCGCCCTTCCAAGGCTCCCCTGCCGCCCTGTGCCACCACGAGAGCTGCCACGTGCAGGCAGCACCGGGGACCCTCGGCCCCAGGGAAGCCAAAGCCAAAGCACTGTGCAAACCAATCACTCTAGGAGAGCACGAAAGCCCTGAATTGAAGGGCTCTTGTGTCATCTTGTTGTCCCTCAAAGGCAGCAGATGAGCATAGGTTTTCCATGGTCCTCCGGACACCCAGGAGGATCTTGAGGAGGCTGGTCACTGCTGCTCACCCCCTGAACCCCTAGCTGTGAAACACAGTAGGAAAAGCCAATTAAAGATGAAAGGGCCATTCAGTGGCAAATTATGCACCGTAAAGTCAGAAGACACTGACTCCTTCTTTCCATCCTTTCCCTGGGAAAAAAAAAAAGTTGGAAGTAAGCTGCGGACTGCATGAATGCCTCTTTTAACCTCACCGTTGGGAAACTCTGCGTATTATTCTGTAGTTAATAGAATAGAATAGAATAYTTTCAATAATTTAGAGCTAACCTTTTATCCCATAATATTTTGAAATCTACTCCCTTGTACTAATAAATAAACCAAGGAAAAAGGGCATTTTATGTGGAGCCGTCCCGCGAGCCAGCGGCTCTGTGCATGTCAGCAGGCTGAGGACCAGCCACAGCCTGCAGAACCACCGAGTGGGACAGGGACAATGTTGGCGGGCTCCAGTGGCCCCCAAAACGGCTCCCGTGGAAAAGAAGCTCTGAGGAAAACCCCTGCTGCCATTAGAAAATAAAACTATCTSCATTAACTAACACTGGAGGCGAACACCCGGGCAGGAGCCACGTCACAACCCAACCCTTTACTTCTTCTCTTGGCGGAATCCAAAAGGAAGTGGCACTTACCTAGGTCTAGGCAAGTTCTAGGGAAGGAAGGGCCTTACCTAGGCCCAGGTGATTTTACCTATTTAAACCATGAACATCAAGATATTCCTGGTACAGGATCCTACCGTTGCTGTTTCGAAATATAATTCCTTGAGTATTTATTTTCTGCTCTGAGAAATGCACTTGAAAGCAAACCATTTCACTAGGGTGCCGGTACCACAGCAGAAAGCACAGCCCTGATTCGCTCCTGACCCGGCCTACACCGCAGCTCTTCAGTGCCTGCACAGGATCTTGCAGAGCCATTTCTCCCCCTTGCCCTGCAGCACTACTGCACCCTGGCCTGCCAAGTGCCTTGCCCTGTTCCAGGATAACACAGCCGGAATACGTGAGGTCTGGGCTGCCGAGAAAAAAACATTTGTTGTGGCTTTGAAGAAGACGTATTCCACCTCAGTTTGCCTGATTTGTCGTTAACATCTCCTGTGTCTAAATTAAGCAGGACACAGAGCATCAGGTGCTGGCAGTGGTGCAGCTGAATGCCTGTCAGAGCTCAGCCTCATTCCCCTGCACACCTCCCACTTGCTCTTGGTTGCACCCGTTGCCCACCAAAACACAGCAAGCCATCCCAAGACAGATTAATAACATCACTGTGCACTAACTATTAAGTGATGGGTGCAAACGCCAATGAAAGTAGAGAGCCAAGTGTTTTAGTGCATCTCCAGGGCACTGACCTGTTTGCCCATTTCCCCTGTTCTCAAAGATCCTTCAGCCTGGTACCCAACTCTGTGATGAAGCCTGTTTAGCACCAGTGAAGTTTCCCACATTCAGACTGACAACGTTCTGGGCTGAGATGAGGGAATCAAAGTTAAAATCCAACCCATCTGCATCCATGAGTTCACTGCGGATAATGGACTCCATGTCACACTCCAAGCTCCCATTGAAAATATCCAGGTCCAAGTCACTTGGGAACTTCTCGTGCCCCATGACCGGGAGGTTCACGCTAGAGGAATACAAAGGGGAGCCTGAGAGCGGGTCAGAAAGTGTTTGCATAGACTGATTGACAGGTGACTGCTGATGTTTGGTGGATCCCAAGCTGCTGGAGTCATTTAAGCCAATGTTACTGATGGAATTGGACAAGGCACGGCTGCCACTAAGAGAGGAGTTGTGAGACTGGTGCTGGTGATGGGGCAGGCTGGGGTTGACCAGCCCGCCCTGGCCGGACTGCGCGGCGAACGACATCATGGGGTCGTTACGGAGCATGATGTTCCTGCGGGAATTCTGGGCGGACACAGCTGTGCTGGCTTGTGACATGAGCGGGTCAGACTGTGTCATCATGACGTCGCTGTGACTAAGTGCATCGGAGGCGAGCAGATCCTGCAGCGTCTGGTTGTTATAATGAGAAATGGAAGAGAAGGTGGCCTGCTTGTTCTCCTGGATGGTCTGCATGGGCGACTGGCGCAGGGAGTTCAGGGAGGACGGCCCAAACACGGCGTTGTTGAAACTACTTGACGGAGAACCCAGCCCCGAACCTTTGGAACCATACGGAAAACTGGAGCTTCTCTGCATCATCCCTCCCGGGGGCGACTGCTGGGAGGCAGGGAGTGTTATATTGTCCAAGAGATCGTCCATGAGGTTATCCGTGAGCCCGTCGTTCAGATTCATTGTCCCGGCCATATCAGTCAACCTCGGCAGCTCCACAGTACATGGCTTGTTTACTGAGGGGGACAAGCTCGAGGGACTGCTGTAGAGCATGGGAGAGAGCGGAGCGTCGTCGTCTTGAACGTCGTCTAGCTCGGCGCTCGCCAGAATCGGCGACAAGCGGCCGCTTATCGTGCTGGCGTTGGAATTGGTGCGGGAGCGGAAATCTGTCCATGCATCCAGCTCATCGCTGCTGCGGGAAGTGGGACTCCCCGGCCACTTGGAGAGCTGGGAAGGGCTGTCCTCACTCGCCTCCTGGGCCGTCTGCAGGGCTGCCTTTTTCTTGGCCGCCCGCCCTCTGCTCTTCGTGTACTTGTTGCTGTTGTCCATGGACACAGCCCGTCTCCGTGGTGCCTTCCCACCTTTCCCGCCATCGGGGTTGATCATCCACCACGAGCTTTTCCCGGTGCCTTCGTTCTGCACACGGATGAATCGGCTGTGGAGCGACAAGTTGTGCCGGATGGAGTTCTGCAGGAGAGGAACAGAACAAAAAGGTCAAGACCAGCACTGCTTCTTTTGCTCTTACCGTTTTGCGCCCCAAAATCCCAGTCAAAAAACCAACACTGCACGAAAACACCGCCACGAATTAAAGTACAGGGGCTGCTGGCCAGCAACTAGACAAGTGAGAGATATCAGCATGAGGTATCACGGGGCCTAACTCTACCCACCCTACTGATCTGAGGCTTAACACACAGCTTAAAGAAGGACCAACGAGGAGTACACTTGGTGAGAACACTTCCAGGCTTTCATTTTTTTCTCCCACACGCAAGTCAGGGATTTGGGGCCGTATTCTCTCGACAAAGCAGTTGTCCTATTCCTGCATGCTAAAGGCGGGCAAGTTTAAAAGTTGCAGGAGTATATTTGCAAAGACAAACATCAGCTATATCTATAAAAAGGACAAAAATACGCGTGTTCTACCAGTATGCCTTAAAATCACAGAGCCAACAGGACCAGAGCGTAAGCAAACCCTGTAGACCAAGTATCCCTTCGCTCGCGAGGCGCTGCAGGGACTGCAGATTTCAACGAACAGAGAACGTATCAATCAGCAAACCATTCGTGGGCATCTGGACACTTCCAGCATCAGGATAAAGAGCTGAAGACGCATGGGATACAATGAGGAAATACTGTCCAGCTATTTCTTTTCTTTTAATAATTCTTTTCAGCATAAAATGTCTTTCTCCGCCTAAGAGCTGTGTTTTTTATCAGATTCCGAAATAAAAAACATGCCTAAAATTCCTCTCCCTCACAGCCAGCAGACACACTTGTGATTATCACGTAATGAAGAGAGAAATCTTGTTGACTACGGTTCAAAATAGCAACTGCTGTTTCAAACAATTTGCACAACAGAGCAGAGCAGGCTTTGGAGACAGACTCGAGATAAGTTTGGGTCAGTGTTTCAGCTATAAAGTCATCGACTTGCCAGGGCCTATAATGCCATTAAAATACAGTGGATTGAGTTGCAGCATAACAGTGCTTCAGTCTAGGAGGCAAAGAGCTTTTTATTATTTAACTGATGGTATTTTTAACTGTATTTTGAGCCCAGTGACAGGATCGAGAGAGCTAAACCACCACACTAACCCAGGCTGCAAGAGTCCTACAAACCCCGCCGAACAAGAGCTAAAAATGCTGGATAGCAGCTAATGGAAATAATCTTAGAAAACGCAGAAAAGAAAGACCCAAGCTGGCCTACACACCATGCTAGGAAGCTTCAAACATGAAAAGCAACAAGCAAGTGCCATCAGCTAACAGTTTTCAACCCATGGTATTCTCATAAACTGCCTTATTTCTGCTGGCAGTAACCTTAGCATGAAACGATCCGGTCTAAACCCACAAAAAATCCATCAGTAAAACAGTGGGATTGAAGCACCTTTCAGGATGAGGGCTCTTGCCTGTGTGGGTATGTGTGTGCACACGTGTAATTTTCTATTATAGTATCTTTTTGCTCGGCGTCGGCAGTACACAAGTAATAAAAGAATGTAATAATACTTCTGCATTGAAAATTGGTGGTTATGAAAAAATCCGAGCAGTTTGTTTTCCTTTACATTACGCAATGTGCCATTTAGGCTCCAGCCCTTTTTTATTTATTTTTCTTCTGTAGGAAGATTGTTTTCTTAGGCATAATTACGGAGCAATTTATTTTTGTGCACCCCATCTCCACCCTCTGTTCAAACACAGCCTTAAAACCCACTTCTTTCACGTAACCTCCTCCGCTAACCTCTGCAGCAGCAGTATCTGAGTGTCTTGGTTTCTCCTCGCCTTGGAAGCTCTGCCAAATCCAATTAGGGCTGTAATCCTTCCACACACACGAGTGATGCTACAGAAGGTGCTGGGATTGACAAATTGGAGGAGTAGAGGCTGCAGTGCTGTAATCTGGGTGGAAAGAAGCCTGTTTTGCACCTGGTTTCTGCACTATCAAAGAAAGTTCATGTCTGCTTAAAACAGGGGGAAGGACTCTGAGATAATGTTTGCCCACGAGCATGTGTGTTACTGATATATGACCATATGATAAACCACAAGGGAGGTGGGGAGGCCAAAAAAAGAAATGCAGCTTATGATTCAAACCTGCTGCTACTCAAACCAACGGGGATTTTGCTTTGGACTTGATTTGGGAGAGGAACTCGGCCACTACGACAGAAACGCAACACGTTTTTCCATGCCAAAACGCACGAGGAACACCCAAAGATCTATAGACCAGTCTCCTGTATCCGCCCTGGAGAACATATGGACACGGGACAGATGCAGGCCGCATTGCAGACCCCTTGGAAGGGGCTGGGATACCACTGGTGGCTACAGCCAGAGGGACCGTGCCAGAACGGGGCAGGGAAGCGATGTGAGGAGCTCCTCCCTTTGCTCGTGTTGCTATTGATACCAGCCTTGCAGCATGCCACGCACTTTGCTCAGAGCACTGAGGTTCCTGCAGATAAGATCAAGAGGACACAGCAGAGCACTGTGGCCCAGCTGGGGCCCGGGTCATCAGCACAGTTTTTAAGTGGTTTGCAAGAGAAAAAAAGAAAATATAGAAATAAATATAGAAAAAAAAATATAGAAAAGAAAAAAATATAGACGTTTATATAAAGGCACTGAAGATAAGGAAGACCCAGCACCAGGGGAACACAACAGCCAAGGCAGAAGTGATTTGAGTGCAGGACAGTAGGGTGGTACAGGACTACACTGCTTCACTTGAGTGCAAGCTGCCCAAGGCTACTGCTTCTCAGAGCCACCTCCGGGCAAGGACTGAGCCCCTTCCCGCAGCTCTTCTCTCTGCGATGCCTCTCACAACCTTCAGCTTTTCCTACATGCCTGTGTGTGCAAAGGACACCACGGTGCAGGGGATGAGGTGGCCTGCCAGCACGCAGCCTGTCCTAGCAAGGAACCAGCTAAGCCGAGCCTTGGGCAGACCGGGTGCACATGGGGCGATATCACTTTCCTAAAGCCCAGAACTTCCAAGGGATAAACGCACGGAATTGTGTGAGGACAGCAAGTGATTTTAACGTTTAGAGGGGCAAAACTGGCAATTCCTCTGCTCCCGAAGCAAGGAGCTCGCTCAGCTGCCGCTTCGCAGCCCTGTTTACCTTGTGGAGCCCGTCCATTAAGGCAGACACCAGCTGCAAGTGCTTCCCCGGCCATACAGAGCCCTTTTTGTCTGCGAGCAACATGTGGTATCAATTTATCATCCTCAACAACGCAACAAGGAATCCACTGGCTTGGAAAAAAAAATAAAAAGGGAGTTGTGTAACTTAACTCTTAAAAGCCTCTGCTCTGCCAAAAAAAAAAAAAAAAAAACCCTAAAGATTAGCAAGACGAGGTGCAGCTGGTGAGCGCCCCGTCCAACTTGCACCCTGCTCTGTTTGCACGTCAGCCTGTTGGAGTGGTCACTTCGTGATTCCACACGCAGGCTCCTAGACTGTCAAGCGACATCCACAAATCAAAAGCAGTGGTTTATTTTCACAACAGGGATAGTGGGGGATGACGAGAGACAAACAAGTACTATCTGCAGGCTTGTACACGCTGGTAAAGCTCACTTGGGAGAACGCTGCTTTGTTTCACTCTTTATTAACGTATTTAAGGTTCAAACGTCACCACATGAGGTTTTCTGGAAGCGCCGTAGCGGTGAAAGGAGTAAGCTCTAATCCTCCAGGAAAGAAGCCGGGAAAATAACTGCAGTTTGTCGGCCTCCAGCTGGCAGGGACCGACTGAACGGCAGCCTCCGTGGCCCTCACTTGCTAATTCACCTCTCAGTCTCCAGCCCATGTCACTTTGCTCCAAATTTTGCAGCCCGCATCTCTATGGGGGTGGATGCTCGTGCAGAGAACTCCACAAAAAAAAAAAAAAAAAATCCCCTTTTCTTTAAGAAAAGCAAACTACTTGGTTTGCAATCGTTGTCCTT